CTATCCCATGGCACATGTGTGTGTTATGGCATGGGCGAGCATCTACAAGACGAGTGTCTTGGGCTTCTTCCTTTGAGGATAAAAAACTTGAGGACAGTGTCGGACGACACGGGTGTGCCAACATTGCGCCTCGATCCATGTGTCGGAGGTTGCACCACAGGGTCCTTATGCAGTACTGTATGCTCCAACGACATGGCATGGACGCAAGAGTCGTCGTGCCTTGATAGTGTCCGGATGGCTGGATGTCCGAAAGGTCCCGATCATAAATACAAATCCATGGGTCAGTTCTTAATATGCATACCCAAGTAAGCAGCGAAGCCCGATGACATCCCGATGCTCGAGGTGGCATCCTACAGTACTAGTGGCCACCTAGTAAGTGAGAAAAAGCTAGTCTTTGCCAATTAGCGACAAGACTCATCCCAATTGCCAAGTTTAGTCATTCCTTGTCTGGATCCCGGCAGGAATCATCCCGGAAGTACTCAGTAAGGCCGTTTAGCCCCTCATTAACTAGCTTCTCTGCAAGAATGGTCTTAGAGGCGTCTGACGGGCTCGATAAGCTAGTTTTGACATAGTTAAGTGACAAGAATCTCCAGGTAGTACCCAATTGGCGTTTTAAGCTCGTTCTAACCCCGCTATAGGTCCGAACTCATCCTGGTAAGATATTGGCTCATCGTAGGAGCCGGACGGCCGAGTGGCCGAGAACCAAGATGGTTTGAAATGAGTTGCAACATCGCGTTTAGAAGACCTTGGCCTAGAGTAAATGCAAGGTAGAGCCGTGGGGCTTGGCTTAGTGTAGAGGCAGGCCGACTAGAGTCGTGATAGAGTTGAAACGTACGTACAGGCGACATGCATTGCTGAAATAAGTCAGAATTCTACAGCAAGTGAAGCTCGGTCGAGGAAGAAAGAACCTCGCCTAAGGTCCAACGAAGCCATAAAGGGCGCGAAAAATGTATTGGGGCTAGAGTTCCCCATAAGGCTGGTCATGGTCGAGCTTAGATCATGGCACCGCACGATTGAAAAATGTACGACTGTGACACCGAGCATCAGCCCCCTTTCTAGTTCGTGCCTTCTCTGGGCTCTTCTCAGTCTTCTCTCGCTTCGCTGGATCTTATCTTTTTCCCTATAACAATAGTCCTCACTCTCAATGTAGAAGGCAAGAAGTATGAGCAAAATGTTAGGGCTTCTATATTGAGAGTACTTGGCACTTGGTCATTTCATGGATGACTGTTTTTATGGAATAAGCTCATACCTTTTTTGTCACTGTTGGTTGTCATTTCTCGGACTGGCCTTCTTAGCACCCATACTTCTGTCGTAGTTGACTGTAGTCAAGTGTCTTAGGTTCTACCGTATAGTTAGTTTTAACTGTTTAGGTTTTTGCCTTGGGATCTAAGTTTTAGTTGGGCTAGCTGTACTATCCTTAAGTTTTTAACATGTTTGGATTTTGCCCATGGTTTTAGACCCCAGAGTTTACTCTTCGGTTTCCAACCTATTTGGCTTTTGCCAATGGTTTTATACCCTGAGTCCAGTCGATACCCGTTTGTCGTTGTTGATTGTTGTTTCATGTGCTGGTCTTCCTAACTCCGTACTATTTTGACGTAGTTGGCTGCAATCAAGCCTCTTGGGCTCTGCTATACAGTTAATTTTAACCGTTAGATTTTAGCATTGGGATCTAACGTTTAGTTGGGCCTGCGGTAACACCCTTGAGTTTCTAACATATTTGGCTTTTGCCCATGGTTTTATACCCATGGTTTACTTTTGGGTTTCTAACCTATTTGGCTTTCGCCAATGGTTTTATACCTTGAGTTTAGTCGGAACCCTTGAGTTTTTAACCTATTTTGGCTTTTGCCAAATGGTTTTATACCCTATGCTTGCTTGATCGACCGAGACTTGGTCATGCCCCGGACCTGGCCATGTCTTGAATCCGTCATGCCCTAGAGTCTGGACATGCCCTGGATCGGGTCATGACCAATTATGTAGTTCGCTTGTCAGGTCTTTGCAGTAGCTTTGTCATTTCGTGGACCTCGAATGGGGGTATGTTGCCTTTTCTTTTTGTTGTTCAAGTTTTTCAAAAAGGGGGTTGTGTTCTTGATACATTCCCTTGACTTTTCACAACAGCCATTTTGTCTTTTGGATGCCTTAGAACTTCATCAAGTTGCTTTCCTCATTCTAGGATTTGTTGATCGTTTCTCCCGGAACCTATTTTTGAATCCGCCGATTTATCTCATCTAGGATCTGTCCAGAAACTTGTCGATTTGCTTGCTCTAGGTTCTACCTCAGAACTTGTAGACTTGCTTTGCCCTAGACCTCATTGGCTCTAAGAAGTTCTTCTCTTCTTCTTCTGATGGGTTGACTTATCTTACCTAGGATCTGTTTTGGAATTTTTTGATTCGTTCGTTCTGAGTTCGTTCTGGGTCCTGCCCCAGAACTTGTTGATTTGATTTTCCCTCAGCTATCTCATAAAAGGGCAGCCTTACGAATCCATGTCGATTTGTTTATTACTAGATCTCCTCGAATCCGAGCGGTTCTCGGTTAATTCGTTGCTCTTCTTTTCTTATGTACCCATAGGTGTTATATTGGATTTGAATCAGATTTCGGATCAATCTATATTGATTGACTGCCTCCATTATGTTGTTGCTAGCAAATACCACTATTTTTTGTTTTGGATCTTCCAAATCATTCCCGKGGGAGGTCCGGACCCATTTTTTTCTGATCCTTCGATAAAAAGATTCATTCTCTTCATAAAAAATAGGAGGTAGAACCAATAAATATTTCTTTTTCGATTCATCCCTGGAGTTGAATACCTCATTCAAGAATTGTTTTTGATCCAATCCGTAGGAATCAATAGAAAAGGCAAATCCCTTATGATACACCAGATCCRGCTCGGTTATTGATAGAGTGAATAGATCTGCCATTTCTTGAAATCTCTCTTCTGATTCAAAATTCAAAATCGTGGTGTAACGTGTATCCCCTCCTGTTCCGATCATGGAATAGATGAAATAAATAAATAAATGGATTTTTGTTCAAGAATGAAATCTTATAAGTTTAGATAGAGAAGATCGCCAAGATTTCGTGATCCGTTGCCGAACTTATTCCTTCCAATTCAACGGGCATTCTCAACATTATGCCTTGAAGAGGACTCGAACCTCCACGCTCTTTAGCACGAGATTTTGAGTCTCGCGTGTCTACCATTTCACCACCAAGGCATCTTGAAAGTGAATCATATTCCATGAATATGACATCTATCTAGTGTGATGTATGGAATATATGACAAAGGTGGAGTGTTAGAGTATTTCTATTGCTCGGTCATGTCATATAGGTCCGAGTCGGACATCCAATTGCTTCGATTTGAATTATCCGGAGGAGAATAATTATAATTTGACCCGATTTTAGGTGTGGTCTATTTTTGGCTATACATACATTTTCAAAAAAAAACTGTCCAAGGCTAATTCTTGTAGGTGTTTCTTCACAATAACTATGATGATAATTATGATGCAGAAAATGCCAATTCAAATTAAATGGATTGAAAACGATGTTACTGCATGGATCGTAATTAAAAATTCCCCCGTTTTCATCCATTAAATAATATTTAAGTACTTGAAAAGTCTGTTTTAAATTGTCAAAGGATTGATTTAAATCTTCAGTAGGTTTTCCTCTATCTGGGGTGGGTGATTCCATGTGATGACCAGAGCTCATGTCGACCTTTTCATCGCATAAGACCCGTCCTTGGTTCATCCTTCTTCTCGGATGACAATTGTAGCCAGAACACCGTTCATCTCTCGTTTAGATCTTAGTCATCCCCACAGACGGCGCCAATTGTTGATGCAGAAATTTGGCCCCTTAGGATTCCGCCAAATTCGCACCAATCTTCTAGAATTAAAGAGATCGACGTCACCAGCAAAACAAAATAGCACTAAAACCGATGTGACTTTTGTCACATGGGCTCCGATGCTTAAATCAGTATCGGAATAGTCGAGTATAGAAAGTAGGGTATTTAGGCATACTTTTAGGGTTTGACTTACTTTTCTATTTATAGAAGTTGAATCCTGATCTCTCTAGGATTGTGGAATTCGAATCCTGATACATCTATGAAATCTGGTTATCTGAGCTAGTGTATCTTGTTATGAGCCTGTCGTAGGATCAAGAGTTTCGGGCTGACATGCATCATCGTTGAGTCAGGTCTTCCGAAGTTCCTGGCCCCTTTCTGGCTCGTGCCTTCTCTTGGCTCTTCTCTCACTTTGCTGGATCTTCTCTCGCTTCGCTGGATCTTCTCTTTCTCCCTATAACAATCAGCATTATAATTCTCTTGAGCTTCTGTGCTAGAAATTTTATACTCCAACTACAATGCATCCAATTAATATATCGGGCATACGTAATGTAAAACCATAACCAATTTGTTTATCAGGCCATATTTAGACTTCCATTGCTTAAAATTTATAGTTCATCCAAAATTTGAAAAGCCGTAGCTAACAACCCACACTTACGTCCTACAGCCATGATAAATGGCGAGCTCGTATATTGTAAAACACGCAAATAAGCACAAACTAGACTGGTTTATGGCTTCACGGAACTGCTGCAAGCAAGCCTTGATCAGAGGTCATCACGTTGTATCCACTCATATATGCTTTTGGAAGACCAACGATTAACTTCAATGGCAATGGTTTTCAAAGGAACACCTCCTATAAATTCATATTAATTTTTTAAAAAATTATTTAAATATTTATTTTACATGATAATTATTAAAAAAGAAAATTAGGCTCGGCATTAGTATTCATAATAGTTGAATCTTGCTGCTGTTTCCTTGAACTTTCCTTACGCAATTATCAACCCAAGTACATCATTGCGCGTGGCTTAAATTGTACGGGCCTACTCAACTTTCTATAATCTCCATCATTTCTTTGAATTTTCCTTCACAACTGTGGGCCCTCACCATTCCAATCAAGCACGCAGTAGCGGTCAATGCCAAGTCTTTTTCTCTTCTTCATTTTAGTTTCAGTCACTTCTCTAAAATTATTCTCTCTCCCTATTTGGAAAAACTATTTTGCGTTGGTATTGTGAGAGTTCTTTTTGGACATGGCTGATCGAAAAGCTGATGGTGGTAGATGGATGTATGATGTTTTTCTGAGTTTTAGAAGTGAGAATACTCGCAAGAACTTCACGGATCACCTCTACCATGCACTGAGAGATGCTGGAATTAATGTGTTTAGAGATGAAAATGAAATCCCACGTGGGGAACATATAACCACCGAGCTCGAACAAGCAATCCAAAGGTCTAAGATTGCAATTATTGTTTTCTCAAAGGGTTATGCGGATTCGAGATGGTGTTTGGAGGAGCTCGTGAAAATTATGGAATGTAGGAGAACTCTGAACCAATTGGTCTTGCCTGTGTTTTATGATGTTGATCCATCTGATGTGAGGAATCAGAAGGGAAGTTTTGGAGAGGCATTTTCTCGATATCAACTACATTTTGGTTCGGAAAATTATAACAAAATTCTTAGCTGGAGAATGGCTTTGACCGAAGCTGCAAATTTAGCTGGCTTCAATTTGGAAAATATTGCTGATGGGTAATTCTCTTAGCTCTTTTTTGTTTTCTTTCTTATATACCTTTCTTTATTCTTTCTTTCTTTATTATTATTATTTTTTTTGGTCTGTCAATTTGAAGATAAGTGGTCAATTAAATTGATTGCATTTTTCTTTTCCGGAGGATCTCAACTATAGATTAGAATATATCAATTTTCTTTGGCTTCCTCTTTCAATGAGAAGTTTGTGAAACAGAATATGAATGCTGCATTGCAGGCATGAAGGTAAATTTATCAAGAAAATTATTCAAAAGGTATCGAGGGATCTGAAGAGAATCATTGATGTAGCTCACCATCTTGTAGGCATTGATTTTCATGTTAATGCAATTACTTCAAAGCTAGGTGTTGGATTAGGTGGTGTGCGCATGGTAGGGATTTGGGGTATGGGAGGTGTGGGTAAAACAACCATTGCAAAAGCAGTTTATAATCTACTTTATGATGATTTTGATGGAGCTTGTTTTCTCGACAACATTAAGGATACTTCAGAGCAGTTGAATGGGCTAGTTCACTTGCAAGAAAAACTCCTCAAGTCTATCTTCAAATCAAGCAAAATTGAATTACAATATGTTCATGAAGGAATCACACAACTGCAACAAAGACTTCCTCACAAGAAGGTACTTCTAATATTAGATGATATAGATGATATGGGGCAGTTAAATGCATTAGCAAGAAGTCGTTGCTGGTTTGGTGCAGGAACCAGAATCATTATAACAACTAGAAATGAGCATTTTCTCAAGAATTTTCAGGTGGATGCAATATGCACAATAGATGAAATGAATGAGAACGAAGCTCTTGAACTCTTTAGTTGGCATGCCTTTCACAATAAGTACCCTTCTGTAGATTATTGTCAACTTTCAAAACGTGTGGTTAGTTATTGTGGAGGATTACCGTTAGCTCTTGAAGTGTTAGGTTCTTTCTTGTATGGTCGAACGGTGCTCGAATGGGAAGATGCGTTGAATAAGCTAAAGAAAATTCCTCTGGATGAAATTTCAAGAAAGCTGAAGACAAGTTTTGATGGTCTTGGTGATCAAGCATACAAGGATATATTTCTTGATATTTCGTGCTTTTTTATTGGAATGGACAAGAGTGAGGTTACACGAATATTGGATGGATGTGGGTTTTTTCCAATAATTGGCATTAGTGTCCTCCTTCAAAGACGCCTTCTAAGAGTTGACCACGAAAACAAGTTTAGGATGCACGACTTACTTAGAGATATGGGAAGAGAGATCGTGCATAATGAATCTCGAAAAGAGCCTGCTAAACGAAGCAGAATTTTTGTTAATGATGATGTGCTCGATGTACTTGAGAAACAAAAGGTAAGAGATCTCTTATGTTTTTCTTGTGAATCAAATTTTGCAAGCTCCTTTAATTTTCTAACTAATATTTATCAAAGAAGGGTTCTAATAAGTGGAATTTTGTTTCATAGGGAGCCGATGTAACTGAAGGCCTATCTTTAAAGTTGTCAATATCTAGCAAGAAAAATTTTCATACAAAAGCATTCAGTGAAATGCAAAAATTGAGATTGCTTCAACTTAATTATGCACGCATAAGAGGAGATTTTAAACATATCTCGCAAGAGTTGAGGTGGATTTGTTGGCATGGATTCCCTTTAGAGTCCTTACCAAAAAGCTTTCATTTGGAGAAAGCGGTAGCTATTGATTTGAGATATAGTCATCTGATCAAATTCTTCCAGAAGGAACCTAAGGTACGTGCTTATGATAATTGTGTGAAATCATTTTTTGAACTAATTTGATACTTCTTCATCTACTAACTTTTATTTTTCTTATTTTCTTGTATATATAGTTTTCACTGGAGAAGTTGACAATTCTTAATCTTAGCCACTCTCGTTACTTGACATGTACTCCGAATTTCTCGAAACTCCCACATCTTCAGAAATTAGAACTCGAAGATTGTAAGAGTTTGGTTAAGGTTGATGATTCTATAGGATGTCTTCAGAAACTTGGATTCATAAATTTGAAAGACTGCATATGCTTGAATAAGCTTCCAGAGGCTTTTTGTGAACTAAAATCCCTTGAAAGGCTTATTCTTTCTGGCTGCTCAAAGTTAGAGAAGCTGCCTAATGAATTGGGGAAGATGGAATCATTGACAACCCTTGCAGCCGATGGTACTTGTATACAAGAATTGCCATCTACAATTGTGGGGTTGAAGAAACTCAAATGTTTGTCCATAACTAGATCTAACCGGCTTCTATCAAAGTCACTGGCTGAGATCTTGTGGTCTAGGATTTTCCCAAGTAAATTTTCAAATTCTATTGTGCTCCCAATGTGTTTACAAGGTTTCAAGTCCCTAACGATACTACGTCTTCGAAATTGCAACGTGTCAGATGATGCAATTCCTAAAGACATAGGGAGCTTGGTGTCTCTAATGACATTGGATTTAGGAGGCAATGACTTTGATGCCCTACCATCAAGCATCAGCTGCCTTTCAAACCTTTACGATCTTAATTCGAGTGGTTGCTCAAAGCTTGAACAAATATTAAATCTACCACCTTACTCACGATGGATTGATGAAGTAAAATGCAAGGCATTGGAAAACATATCAGAACTACCAAAGAACGTCGAGCTTATAGAGTGGATAAATGTTGCAGAATGCCCCAAGGTAGTTGAGATTTCAAGCTTTGACGGGGTGGTGCCATATATTCCCAGTATTAAGATGTCGGGGGGTCATTCAAAGTTGAATCAGTCATTTAAACAGATCTTCCAGGTTCTCCCTTCTCCTTACAATGACATATTATATTATATGCTTTGATTTTTAAAATCATGGATTGTTATTTTAAAAGGGTTTGTAATTTAATTGGTCCTAGATTTTTTCATAATAATTTCATGGTGCTTACTTTGATATTGGACGACAGAGAATGTTTGAAGAAATAAATGGAGGAATAAAGGTATGCAGTTTTCCAGATGGGGCTGTTTCTGAGGAAAGCAGTTGGTCGCTACATGTTGAAGCATCTCAAATTGCTGACTTTGATTTCGAAGGAGCAGACATTGAGTCTATTATGTATCATTGTCCTGTAGGCTTGAGAACAAATGATTGGTGGTTCAGAAATGATGAATTACCAAAAGTAGGAGATGGTGGGAATGGCACTCACATTATTGGGAAAACTTGCTTTGAATTCAGTGGAGGATCTTCGAATAGGTGCATTCTGATTCGTAAACGTTACTATGATGTTCCTCGACATGAGGTAGAGATGAGTTGCATAAAATTTGATTTTTTATCTCGTACTTGGCTCCTTGAGTCAATTACAAAGTTATCTTCGACCTAAACTTGAATAAGATGTAAAATCAATCCTCTCATTTGTTAAGTTTTTATTTGCTTGAAGATTCATAATATTAATTATGTTTTGTGGACATTGATTCAGTTTCAACATTCTCTACCTACTTGATTTTGTCCTCAAAATATAAATATTTTGGGCTGATTAACCCTTTACCCAGGGCCCTCTCTATTTAAAAAACGTATGTTTGCTGATATCACCCTCCTTGCAAAATTACTCTCTCCGCCCTTCCAGTAACTTGGGTAATACCAATAGTCTCAAATCTAGTTTCCCTCTTTTTTTTTCCTTTCCTCTACGCTGAAGCTCTCTCCCTCTTCTCCTTCGATTGTCCCATTCAATCGTTGTCGGGAAAATTTGTATTCGGCACCAATCTGTCAATTTCCTATCTCTCCGGTGATTCCGATTTCCTTTCGCGTTTTTTAGCTGCTGTAGGCATTCTTCTCCAGTAACCATTCTGATTCCGCACATTTTATCGTACAATTGTCTATTTTCTTTCTAATTTGGTTTCTGAGTTTGGCCATTCGTTGTTTGCTTATGTTGTATTCGCCCAAAATATGGATGCAGTATGGGTGTCATCTTAGTTTTACCTTAAATTTAAACTAGTTAGGTTTGAAATTTGATTACGTCTAGTTCCTACTGAATTGTTCTCATGCTTTTCGGATGAATATGCATGTTTTAGTTCGAATTGTATTTAGATTTCACTGTTGTACAAGCATCCGTCTGCTTATTCGTGTTCCATAGAAGAGAGCGAGAGAAAATGAAAGGTTATGAGAGAGCGAGAGCGAGAAAATTTACAGAATGCAATATTTCACATTGACCGTAGTGACTTTTTCCCTTTTATATTTCCTTCCTCACTCTACTCCAATGTTTTATGTTATTTGTTTTTTAGACTAAAATGCTAGTTCCATATTTGTTTTGGTTGCAGGACTAAAATGGATCACACCATTAAGATTAGTGAGGAAGATAGATTTCCAGCTCAAATTACTAGCTTATCTCGCATTAGCAATGTTAACAAGCTTATCAAAGAGAAGCTTACTCCAACACAGTTGTATATGTTCATAAAACGAACAATATTCGGGCGCTTTGTGGGCCTCAATCTGATGTTCTGCAGTTCCTTGGTGCCTGCTTAGGGAGGTTACTGACAGCACGACAGATTGAATGAGCTTCAATATTGGGGGCACCACCGTGACCTTCTCGAAGGCCGAGTTCTTATTTATAATTTGGTTGTGATGGCCATCTCGTAGGATCGTTAAGAAGAATGTTTCAAAGAAAAGGCTCCGAAGACAATACTCCAAGGATTTGGTTGATTTTTCGCTTGACAATTTTGAAACTCGATACAAGTTGACTGTCTTTGCCAAGGACGAGGACGTTGTAAAGGTAACCTTGATATACTACACCGAATTTGTAACGATGGGTAAGAACGAGGTGAAGTCCAACATTTTTGACTGAGTTTGATCCATATGTCCTTCGCTTCATTTTTAGTATTTTATTGGTGGGATTTAGTGTGCTTCATGTCTTGTTTCATAGACAATTACTTTCTAGTTTTGACCGATTCAAGTTTGGAGTTTAATTTAATGAAATTTAAAATTTAAAATTTAAATTGACACGTTGGCTATGTATAGGAATGGAAATAAGTTGACAAAGTTTTCTTGATGCAACAATTGTAGGCTTGACATAATTTGAGATTGTTGTAGCTTCTTAAATGATGGCTACCCATTGTCAATATAAAAATATCAATTGTAACAGAGACTAGGTCACATTTGATAAGCATTTCATTTTTTATCCTTTATTTTTTATAATTAAGCCTTGAAATTTTAGGGTCACATAGGTGTTCATTTGCTTTGATATATAGTTTTTATAAACATTTTCAAAATGTAGATTAAATTTTGAAAAAAAAATAATATATATAAGTTTTCGTTTTTTAATAAGAATTCAAAAACATACGTTTGAAGAAAAAACTTTTGAAGAGCGGTTCTCATATACAACCAACCTGACTAAAAATCTCTTTGAACTTGATCCAACCCAATCCGTGAACACCCAGCTTTCATCATGAATCCCGAGATAAAGGCAAGATTCATGCAATTAGATTGCATGAATTTCAATTTTCTTTAAACGGCTAGAAGAATTCGGTTTTTTTTTTTTTTCAAAATTACATAATTTTCACCTTAAGTCTGGAGGAGGGAAAATGTGAGATTTTCTCTTTAGAAAAGATAAATCTCTAGATTACGGGTTTGGATTTTCAAATTTGAGATTTTTTTTTTTAATTAAGAGTTAGAAAATTAAGGATATTTTTTTATTGATGATAATTTATGCCACAATGGAAAATATGTACTTTCACATTTGAAAAAAATAAAAAAATGGGTTGAAAAAAAGGTGTAGAGGGGTCTGATAAATTTCGGCAAATAACAAATTGCAACATAATTATTCACACAAAATTTTTGGAGAAATTATATTTTGCAGACTAAATACAATTTGTATCAATATTTGGGGGTTAAATTTTATCCAAAAATAAAAATTTCAATTAGAATTAAGGTAGAACATAGAATCTGCTAAAATTCAAATTAATTTTATTGTCGCATAAGAATATCAAAATTTTGACCAAAATTCATATTTTGATTAATTGACATAAAAATGTGTCAAAAATAGTTAATCAAAATTTTGAACAAGAGTTCTATTTTGATTAATTTGGCACATTAATAGGGATCAAAACCGTAAATAAATATCATACGTTTTAATCTCGAAAAGAGCATTTATTGACTAATAAATTTCGACAAATCACAAATTGTCACATAATAAAATTATATGTAATTAAACTAAGACTAATTAGAATTTGACAAGTGTCTTTAAATTTTTTTTTTTAAGCAGACAAGTGTTTTTAAATTAAATTAAAAGATATTAAAAATTCAATAAGGCTCAAGTTAGCAGGACCCATCTAGTGAGCCAAGTTTATGTGATGCCCATGAAATACATTATAAAATAGAGGGGATCATTCACCATCTAATTCGTCGGACCAAGATCCTTTATCTTACATGGGATCAAAATTCTCTCCACACATAGGATCAAAATCCTTCTACCCTTTAAAGATCAAGATCATCATCAATGATCAAGGTCAACAAACCGTAAGAATGTCGATCAAGATCAACAAGCCTCCAAGAGGTCAATCAAGATCATTAAGCTACCAAGAGGTCGATCAAGATAAACAAGCCACCAAGAGGTCAATCAAGATCAACAAGTCCAAAATGCCGATCAAGATCAACGAGTCCATAAGGCCGATCAAGATCAACAAGTCGCCAAGAGGCCGATCAAGATCGAATTCAAGGAAAAGAATCAAAGGATAAATATTAGATTTTACGAACCCCAAATATCAATACAAATTGTACTTAGTCCACGAAATATAATTTCTCCAAAATTTCATGTGATCAGGGTCATAAATAGTACAAGTTTTTTTAGACTAGGTCATAAATACAAAGTGAAAAAGATTTGGGGTCGTCAGAAACCCCAATTTCCCATTTATTTAGGCAAAGAAATGAGAAAATAAAGAATAAGGTTTCAGCGAAGTTCAAAAATTCAAATAGTACAAGTTTTAATTAAGCAAGCAAAATGTCTCTAAGGGATAGCATGGGTGGCTTGAAGTCTCGTGGAATATCTTTGAGGTTTTGGGTTAGAAGTAGAAACTTTCACCCAAATAGACTGAAGAGATAGAAACTTTTTTGAACTGAATTTGAGGACAAAGATCTTTGGGTTTTTATTATTATTATTTTTTTAGTCAACCTTTTAGAGATGATTTAAGAAACTTTTGGCTTTAAAAATATATTCTCTTGTAATGGTTGGACAAGACAGTGATCTAAGTTTATCAAGCTTTAAGCTATGAACTCCCCGAGGATGTGATTGACATGTTATACTAAGGAATGATCTCAAACTCTAGAGAGTGTCACATCTTCTCCCCATTTAGTATGAGTTTGATATGGTTTGAGTCTTTACAAGAGAACTAAAGATGATTGAGCATTGTTGTTAATATTATGAATTATTATTATGAAGCTTGAAGTTTGATATGTTGCTTACACGCGTTGAGAGTGACACGTAATACTTGTAGACAAGTCATCAGAGTGGGTAGTGGACAATGCAGTCTCCGTGCATGTATCTTCAGACTGGAATTGGTTCATGCTTTCATTGTAGGGAATCATGACATTGTGAGAATGAGAAATGGTATACTCTCCAATATCAGAAGAATTTGGGATGTTCGTCTGAGGACTGACAACGGGACCGAGTTAGTACTGCATGATGTGAGGTATATGCCCAGTTTCAAGGTGAATCTAATATCAACAGAGAAACTGGATGACGAAGGCTACAGAAGTGAGTTTGCAGAGAATTGGTGGAAACTCATGAGGGGATGTGAGGTAGTGGTTGTGAGCCACAGAAAAGCTTCAGCATACATGTTGAGATTTGGCGTTGCTAAAGAATAAGAGAGACGGGTTACGCACAGGGCTGCAAATGGTTTAGGGGGAGACATAACAGAATCAGCAGTAAAGATAGTTTGGATAGATGAGGAGAATCTGCCATCAGTTCAAGTTCAACAACTGGGAAGTAGTGAAAAGAAAAAGAAGAATATCCCGATGAGTTGTTCAGTAGATTGTCAAATTTTAGCACCAGTTTTCAGACGGTTTGACGAGCTGATGAAATCACATAGGCGAAAGAGTGTATCAATGAAAATGACTATGGTTGGCGCTGAGGTCAACAGTGAAGTCTCTAGCTTGGCAACAGATTTGGTTGGGTTTTGGCCAAGCCATAAGTGAAGAAGCTTTCCTTCAAGAGTCATTGGGCATGATCGAAGAAGGAAGCATTGGGAACCGCTTAGTTCGAGTGGGACCACATGGCTATGTCATTTACGTTTGGGAGACAAAACCATGTAGGATTGTTCAGTCTCAAGATAATCACAGATGGAACCTTGGTTGGTGCCAAAAAGATGTTGATCAGTTAGAAGCTGTTGGTACAGTCAGAACTAAGTAATGAGGGACACTATTATTGCATTGGGAGGCAAGATTGTCGGTTTGTCTCAAAGTGGGAGATTGTTGGAATTATGGAACCAAATCGACGTTGGAATGAGTCGGGACGAGGCAGGATTGAAAGAGGGCAGCGACGTCGCGATTTCTTGCGCATGGACATTATGGGACACTATTAAATGCATTAGCAAGAAGTCGTTGCTGGTTTGGTGCAGGAACCAGAATCATTATAACAACTAGAAATGAGCATTTGCTCAAGAATTTTCAGGTGGATGCAATACGCACAATAGATGAAATGAATGAGAACGAAGCTCTTGAACTCTTTAGTTGGCATGCCTTTCATAATAAGTACCCTTCCGTAGATTATTGTCAACTTTCAAAACGTGTGGTTAGTTATTGTGGAGGTTTACCGTTAGCTCTTGAAGTGGTAGGTTCTTTCTTGTATGGTCGAATGGTACTCGAATGGGAAGATGCATTGAAGAAACTAAAGAAAATTCCTCATAATAAAATTCAGGAAAAGCTTAAGATAAGTTTTGATGGCCTCGACGATCAAAAAATCAAGGATATATTTCCTGACATATCGTGTTTTTTTATCGGAATGGACAAGGATAAGGTTACACAAATATTGGATGGATGTGGGGTTTTTCCAAGAATTGGCATTAGTATCCTCCTTGAAAGATGCCTTCTAAAAGTTGACAACAAAAACAAGTTTATGATGCACAATTTACTTAGAGATATGGGAAGAGAGATTGTTCGTAATGAATCTCCAAAAGAGCCTGAAAAGCGAAGCAGAATCTTTGTTAACAACGATGTGCTTGTTGTACTTGAGAAACAAAAAGTAAGAGATCTCTCGTGTTTTTCTTGTGAATCAAATGCAAGTTTTTTCTTTAATTCTGCAACTAATATTTATTAGAGAATGACTCTACTAAGTGGATTTTTGTTTCGTAGGGAACTGATATAACTGAAGGCCTCTCTTTAAAGTTGTCAATATTTAACGAGAAAAAAATCCATACAAAAGCATTTACTAAAATGCAAAAATTGAAGTTGCTTCAACTTAATTACGCACGCATAAGAGGAGATTTTAAACATCTTTCCCGAGAGTTAAGATGGCTTTGTTGGCGTGGATTTCCTTTGGAGTCCTTGCCAAAGAACTTCCATTTGGAGGAAGCCGTTGCTATTGACTTGAAGTATAGCCATCTGATCAGATTCTTCCAAAAGGAACCAAAGGTACATGCTTTTAGTAATTGTGAAATCAGTTATTTTGAACTAATTTGACACCTCATCATCCACTAACTTTTATTTATTTTTTCTTGTAAATAGTTATCATTGCAGAAGTTGGCAATTCTCAATCTTAGCCACTCTCATCACTTAAAATCTACTCCGAATTTTTTGAAACTCCCACATCTTGAGAAATTAGAACTTAAAGACTGTAAGAGGTTGGTTAAGGCTGCATAAGCTTGAATAAGCTTCCAGAGACTTTATCTAAATTAAAATCTGTTGAGACACTTGTTATTTCTGGCTGCTCAAATTTAGAAAGTCTGCCTAAGGATTTAGGTGAGATGGAATCATTGACAACTCTAGAAGCAAATGAAACTCGTATAGAATTGCTCTCCTCAATTGTGAAGGTGAAGAAACTCAAACGTTTATCCCTAAATGGATGTAAAGGTCCTCTGTCAAAGCCAAGATGGTCTTGGATCTTCTCAAGCTATTTGTTGAGCTCTAGTGTGGTACTCCCAACATCTTTACAAGGCTTGGAGTCCCTAAAGATACTATGTCTTAAAAATTGCAACTTGTCAGATGATGCCATTCCTAATGATATTGGAAGCTTAGTGTCTCTAGAGAAATTGGATTTAGGAGGCAATGACTTTCATGCCCTACCATCTAGCATCAGCTGCCTTCCAAAACTTACAGAACTTTGGTTGGAACGTTGCTCAAATCTTGAAAGAATATCAAATCTACCACCAAATTTAAAAAGGATTTACGCACGTTTCTGCAAGGCATTGGAAAGCATATCATACTCATCATACATGTTCTACCTACACGTTCGTAGTTGCCCCAAGCTAGTTGAGATTTCACTTGTTCGAGAGTTTGTGCGGTTGCCAAATATTCCCACTATTGAAATGAACAGTTGTCATGCAAAGTTGCATCAATACATCTTGGAGGTTCTAAACTCTCCCTATAAGATAAGATCTACATCTTATTTTAATGTCGTTAAAACATCATGCACCAGTCAATCTTTAAACTTGTTACTTTCACTTTTAATGTTTATTAATATTCATGGGTTCCATCTCAAAACAAATTGGCATTGAGAGGAGTAATCCATGTCTATTATAAACCATTGTAAAGTCTCTTTCCTTTTCAATCATTTCCTTAACAATGTATGTATGAATGAAGCCCATCCTAATTGTGGTTTTCATTCATTCTTTGACTGTTATTTAAAAGTTTGTCCTAGATTTATCATATTGATATCCTCACGCTTGCTTTGATAATGGACAACAGAGAATACTTGGAGAAATAAATCAAGGAATAAAGCTACACACTTTTGTAAATGAGGATGATATTTGGGAGAGCAGTTGGTCGCTGTATCATAAAGCATCTCAAATCGCTGACTTTGATTTCGAAGGATACATTTTCAACGTTCCATTTAACATTATGGAAGTATATGGAGACAACCCCAGAACGAAATGGATTATTGAGGACTTACCAAAAGTAAAAGATGGTGCCAATGGCATGATTCACACTATTGGGAAAACTTGCTTTGATTTGAATAGACGCTCTTCAGACAGGTGCATTATAATCCGTAAAAATAGGGTTAGTACGTCTAAATATGCGTTATGGATAAAATGCATACGATTCAACTTTGGTTGTCGTGCTTGGTTCAATGAGGCAATTATTAGAGTGACTTAATCAGTTTAGTTAGTTATCTTAATTCACTTGTTACTTTCATGTCAAAAGATTCTTCTATAAGCTAAGGTATATTTATATTGACCTTTATCATTGAATAAAGGGTGCAAGTTATTTACTCTCCCATGTTAATATGGTACTAGATGACTATCTCTCTGGTTTTTTACACGGTTGAAATCGTGTGTAAGTTGGGTATAAAATTTACCTACCGAATATTTCATTGTAACATTGTATAAATTGCCCAAAGGAATAACTATGTGTTAAGGATCAACAAACCACCACTCAACCCAAAAGTTTAAGTTGATGGGTTGGGTAAATTTAATTAATTTATGAGTATCTCACCACTACGTAAACTGCACTTGAAAACCATTACCTGAATGGTGAAAGATTTGTTGCCCTTTACAGTGGACGTAGGTCCTTGTTTGGCTGAACCACTTATTCTCTGCGCATTTCTCTTATTCCCTATCTTCCTCTTCATCGATTTCTACAAGCAATTTGATAAGTTTTTGTCTTGCCCTAAAACGCTTCTCGTTTGGTCCTAACAAAAGTGGTATCAGAGCCCAGCAAAGAGAAGAAAGACGTCTGTAAGATTTAAGAAACAAAGCATGGCAGTTGCAAGATTCTAAATTGAAAAATTTGATGGAAAGAGTGACTTTGAGTCGTGGAAAGCCAAAATCAAAGTGTGTTGGCAGAGAGATAGAGATGAGATCTCGGGGTTGTAGTGCGCCGTCAGCAACCTGTTCTCGTGGGTATTTGGTGAGGTTTTTCATTCATGTATTCCTAGAATTCTATTGTTGTAGTTATTAGAAGCTAGACGACTTTTGTTGAGATCTCTTGAGTGAGAGATATTGTATTATCCCAACATTATAGTAGAACCCGCGTGTAGCTAAAGATTAGATGTAGCCTTCGTTTGGGTGAATCAGTATAAATTGCTTGTGTCGTTTACTGCACTTTTCCTATATTCTTTTATTATTGTGGTTTGTTTAGTTTTCATTGAATAACTGTGGAAGGGGAAAATTTTCTTAGTAAGTAATTTTTCCAACATTGGCTGCCAAGTACAAGGTGTTAGCTAAAAGCCGTCAATATTTCCTGTTTTATTGACGGTTTGTAGCCGTCAATAAAAGTAAAAGTATTGACGTTTATTAGCCATCAACAGTGTAAAAACATAGGGCCAACAAAATTTTACAAAAAATAATAAAAATACGGTCAACAAAAGTATAAAAGTTGACGGCTTATTGCGTCAACTTTAATAATATAAATGTTTGTTGATTACATTTTGTAGCCGTCAATATATGTATTCTTTTTAAATAATTTATTTTAAAGGTGAAAATAGTGCTATCTTCCCTACTCCTAGATATAAGAGAGAGGCTCACTCTTCATCGAACTCGAAAGCTGGTCTTACTGAACAAGCAGCTTTATTAATAAGGTTGCATCTTTCTACTCATAGTGTCCCGACAAGTGGTTATTGTTGGAGCAGAAAAAACCTTAGGCTGTTTGTTTTATTAATGATAAAAAAAAGTGTGCAAATAGGGGAAGCCTAGCCTTTATATATAGGCTTAGCTTATGGGCCAAATGGCTTTATATACAATAATGATTAACTAAAGTTAAGCACAGTAACTAACTAATAACCTAACTAATTCTAAACAACAATAAAAAACAAAATACTTAATCTAATTACAAAGAAAGTCGTAACATCTAAACATGTGACGCCTGACTAGGGAGGAGGGGTACATGAATGAACCGATACCACATCCGAATGAGAGGGATCCTGAGATCATGGAAGAGTGGTCATTGGCTTGGAGCAATCTTGGGTTGGGTGACCTCCTAGTTGATTTACTAGGAAGCATGTGAGTGAGGACAAAGCATGCTGAAATGACTCGTGTTAGTCTGTAGGGACAGTCTACACTCTTCTAAGTGGCTCAGAGTTTGATGGTGGTGCAGCTAGGTCGCAGGAGAATGCTGGGGCAAAGAGGTACCGAATCCTGGGCTTGGGGCGTTACAAAACACCTAACAAACTACTACATCAATTCCCCCTTTCAGTAGGTTCCTCTTGGAAATCTCTCCTTTCGAAGATGTACAAGAACCAAATTTCCTTCAGCAAACTCGTTGTACCTTCATTTCTTGTTAGCAAGTTGGGCGTACTTAGCATTGGACTCGAGATGTTTCTTGACTTTTTATGAATTATTTGAACCCAATAAGCCATTAACTCGGCTTCCGAACTCAAATCTGCAGCACTTGGCAAACTTAGATCAAGAGTTAAGCGAGGAGGGTTAGTATATACTACCTCAAAAGGAGTTTTGCCCGTGGACCGATTCTTCATGTTGTTAAAAGCAAATTCTGCTTGTGGTAAACAAAGATCCCATTGTTTTGGCTTATCCCCACTTAAACATCTAATCAAGTTACCCAAGGTTCTATTTGTAACCTCGGTTTGGCCATCCGTTTGTGGGTGGCAAGTTGTACTATACTTTAATTGAGTATCGAACTTCCGCCAAAGGCATTTCCAAAAATGGCTTAAGAACTTTGTATCCCTATCACTTGTGATGGATTTGGGTATTTCATATAGTCTAACCACTTCTTTGAAAAATAGATTAGCAATATGAATAGCATCATTAGTCTTCCTACACGGAATGAAATAAGTCATTTTGCTAAAACGGTCAACCACTACAAAAGTAGAATCATTACCTCGTTGGGTTCGTGGCAAACCCAATACAAAATCCATAGTGAGATCTTCCCAAATTGTTTTTGTAATAGGGAGAGGAGTGTACAAACTTGTATTTTGTCCTTGGCCTTTAGCAACTTGGCATATACGACATCTTCTCACATAATTTTTAACATCCTTTCGAAGATGTGGCCAAAAAAATCTGCTAAGCACTTGTTCAATTGTATTATCTCGACCAAAATGGCCTCCTAGTCCACCAGAATGAGTATCCCTAATAATTTACAGCCGTAATGATGTGCGTGGAATACAAAGTGCATTGTCTTTAAAGATAAAATCATTAGTTATGCTAAAGTCTTTATAAGCATGTCCATCTTTGCTTTTTTGCCAAATATCAGAAAAATCTTCATCATGCTCATATAAACCAGCAAGGTTATCAAAGGAAATTATTTCACCTTTCAATATGTTCAATAAGTGAGATTTTCTACTTACTGCATCAGCCACCTTGTTAGTTTGTCCAGATTTATGTTTGATGGAGAAATCAAAACGTTGAATAAAAGTAATCCATCTAGCATGCATCCTAGATAAGTACTTTTGGGATTTGATGTACCATAGGGATTGGTGGTCGGAATATAATATGAATTCCTTTCCTATTAGGTAATGTTCCCATTATTTTAATGCTCTAACCAAGACATAAATTTCTTGCTCATAAGTACTCCACTTTTGTCTAGCTTCACTAAGTTTCTCACTAAAGTACTCAATAGGTTTATTCTCTTGACTTAGCACACCACATATTCCCTTGTCCGAAGCATCTACTTCAACAACAAACAATTTATCAAAACTTGGTAGTGCTAGGATAGGTGCTGTAATCAACCTTTGTTTTAAGGTCTCAAAGCTATATTGTTGATATTTACCCCATTGAAACCCTGTTTTCTTAAGGCATTCGATCAAAGGAGTTGCTATGGTACTAAAGTTTCTAACGAATTTTCAATAAAAAGATGCAAGCCCATGAAAACTTTGAACTTTTTTAACATTTGAAGGTGTTGGCCACCCACTTATGGCCTTAGTCTTTATGGGATCGACTTCTATGCCTTGCTCACTTATTATAAATACTAAAAATATAAGTTTAGGCACTCCAAAAATACATTTTTTCAAATTTATATATAAGGAATTATCTTTAAGAGCAGACAAAACATGCTTTAAGTGAAAAAGATGCTCATTTAAATTTGTGTTATAGATCAAGATGTCATCAAAATAAACCACCACAAATTTTCCAAAAAATACTTGTAAGACTTTATTCATAAGGCGCATGAATGTACTTGGTGTATTAGAAAGTCCAAATGACATTACAAGCCACTCAAATAATCCCTTATTGGTTTTAAAGGCAATTTTCCACTCATCTCCCGGTCTTATACGAATTTGGTGATATCTGCTTCTAAAATCAATTTTGGAGAAAAAATTTTTATTCATATAATTGAGCTAAAAGGTCGGGTAATCTAGGAATTGGGAATCTATATCTAATTGTGATTTTATTTATTGCACGACTATCAATACACATTCTCCAAGTTCCATCTTTCTTTGGGGTAAGTAGGGCGGGAACTGCACAAGGACTCATACTATGTTGAATCAAGCCTTTATTCAAGCGTTCTTCAACTTGTTCATGCAAAATTTTATACTAAGTTGGACTCATTCTATAGTGTGGTAAGTTTGGCAAAGGTGCACCCGGAATTAAGTCTATATGGTGTTTGATATCTCTCAATGGTGGAAGCTCACTAGGTAATTCTTTACATATAAGTCTTTAAAAGTGTGCAGTAAATTGGAAATAGCATGTGGAATGTCAGTGTCTAAGCAATCTTCATTATGACCCTTGATGATAAGTGCAACTAGGTTTTTGTTATGCTCACTTAAAAACTCATTTGCAGGTATAATAGAGAAGAGTTTAGAAGATGTACTTGTCGAACTTACCTCTTTTTGCTTATTGGGTAGTAGGGTGATTTTCTTACCAAGACAATTAAATTCGTAAGTGTTCTCCCTTCCTTTGTGAATTGTCGAAAGATCAAATTGTCAAGGTCTCTGAGCAAGATGTGGCATGCATCCATGTCTATAACTTCGCAAATAATTTGATCTTTGTAATGTTTTCCAATGGACAGTGGAATTGTGCAAATTTTTGTGATAGCCACTTCATTTCTTTTCTTGATCCATCCTATTTTATAAGGATTAGGATGAGGTTCGATTTCCAATCTAAGAGCTTCAACTAAAGCATTGGACACAACATTTTCGCAACTCCCACTATCAATTATCACATCACACACCTTATTATTCACAGTACATCTAGTCTTAAATAGGGCATGTCATTGAATAGTATTCACTTCCATTCTTGAATTTAACAAAAGTCTTTGGAGGACACAAATTACCCACTCACCATCATCTCCTTCTTCAAAGATTTCCTGTTCATTTCTAGAAAATTTCTCCTCTTTTTCACCGCTGTCTTCTTGTTCGGAGCCTTCTTCCATCAATGCAAGCTTCTTTCTTTCGGAGCATTCATTGGAGAAATGGCCAGTTTGACCACATCTATAACATTTCTTTAAATTTGAAGGTCTTGCATATGGATTTTCTTGCTTTGAGATTGAGTTCTTGCCGATTGTGGGCTGTCCACTTAGATGGTGCTTTTGGTTTCTCATCTCCTCCTTCGAAGGGTTCATTCTTTTCTTCCCAATTCCGATTATCTTGTTTAAATTCTCCCTTTGTATTAGTAGATCCAAATCGACCGGATGGTCTTCTTCCTCCTCTACCCTAATTAGGAGTTCTTTGATTTTCGTTCCAGCTTGCTTGTCCATAGCCCCAATTTCTTTCTTTCTTGATTATCTTCTCAATCTTGATGGTCATTGCTACTGCTTCATGAATTCCTGGGAAATAAATCAATTCAATCTTGAATCTCTTATCGAAGTCCATTGATGTACCGTGCAACTTGTTGATATTCGGATTCCGACAAATCATTCCTTGCATTTAATCGATACCACTCGCTGGTATATTCTTCTACTATCCGCTTATATTGCTTGCATTCTTGATATGATTGATACAAGATTTGTTCATAATTGTCAGGTAGGAATCTTGCCCATAACATCTTCTTCATTTTTTCCCATTCTTTCACTGCTTTCTTGCCCATTTTTCTTCCATTCGAGGTTAGTTGATCCCACCATGCTGCTGCACCTCCTTTCAATTTGTATTTTATCGACTTTACTTGTCGTTTTTCCGGAATATCCATGCATTCGAAAAAATCCTTTACTTGTTTGATCCAATCTAAGAAGTTTTCCATGTCTAGCCTCCCGTCAAAGTATGGTAAGTCAATTTTAAGCTTGTACCCCGTGTGCTTTTCTTTATATTTCCATCTTCTCCTCGTTCTTTCATAGTTGTCATTATCACTTGAGGAATCAGAAGTATCATTTGTGGAGGTTGAATCTGATTCTTGGACCCTTTTCTTGTATTTCTTGGACTTTTTGTGATTCTTGGACCTTTTTTTGGAGTTTTCTGCACTAGAACTTGTTGATCCTTGGTTGGATAAATGCTCAGTATCTTCCTCTTTGGGGTTTGACCCATTATTCTTCTTCCTCTCATATTTCTTTGCAAACAGATATGTAAATTCTTTAATCTTGCTTTCATTGGGTTGCTGTTTTTCTTCAACTTTCTCCTTTCCCTTATCTAATTTTGCACTAATCTTTGTATTCTCCCTCAATAATCCTCTCAACCATTTTTGTATCTCTTCAACAGCTTCTTCAATCTTTGCCATTCGATTGGTTAAGCATTCCAAGGGAAGGATGCGGTGTTGAATATCGAGCACAACCGCATGAAGCTCGCCATAATAGGTTTCTACCAAACCCGCTTCCGAATTCTTGGTGTTGGTCATCCTTCTTGGACAGAATTTTACCAAGCTCTGAAACCAATTCTTGGTGGAGCCGAAAAAGCCTTAGGTTGGTTGTTTTATTAATGATCAAAAAAGTGTACAAATAGGGGAAGCCTAGCCCTTTATATATAGGCGTAGCTTATGGGCCAATGAACTTTAAAATTAACTAAAGTTAACCACAGTAACTAACTAATAACCTAACTAATTCTAAATAACAATAAAAAACAAAATACTTAATCTAATTACAAAGAGAGCCCTAACATCTAAATACCTAACAAACTACTACATCAGTTATGAAATGAGATAAGTTGATATTTTTTCTTACAAGCGTCAACTTTAAAAATAGGTACATGTCAACAAATGTCAAATTTGTAGTAGTTTACGAGCGGAGTAATACTAACGATAGTGATAAAAAAGATACTAGCGATAGCAATATCTGTGGTGTGTCGAAATCTCAATTCAACTTTTTTAGTAAGTTAAGATTGAATGGATGAAGACGAAGTTTCGCTTAGAAACACCCTTAGAAACAAACAATTTGAGGAATCAAAAGAAAGACTCGGAAAACAAGGTCAAGATTTATGCAAATCTCATTAAAAAAATTTGTACTTCTATTTATTTATTTTTATTTGTTATAATTTTTCGAGTAGAACCATGAAAAACAATCCGATTTGACCCCTGAACTATTTGAAAGGGTATAATGTTATTTTCCTAAGCACACCTCCCCCAAAAGTCAAAAAGATGAATAAAACTAATTTAAAAAGGTGGGAAAAATTCACCCAAAAAGTTTGGGGTCATTTTTGTCAATATCCCAATCTCATTTTTTAGATATAGGTGTGTTATGGTAATTTCACAACCACAAAAAATGAAAAAGGTTAAAAATAAACTTTGTCACTGGTAAGATAAAACTTCATCTCCTCATTTTGTCTTTTAATTTTAATCATTTTATCCGTTGTCTTGAAGATACTTTTATCATTCATCTTTCTCACTCTCTTTTCAAATCTCCTCAGATTCTATCGATTCTCTCCCCTTCTTTCTCGACGACACCCTCCTTAATTTTTAATTATTTCCTCCCTACTTTTAGAGGATTTTTTTTTTAATAATGCTATTTTCGAAACTTTCCAAACTATTTCTAAAAATAATATTTTGGAAATAGCAGATCGTCTCTTGAAGAGATGACCAGCTTGTAAGCGCCACATTAATTTTTTTAAAAAAATAAGGCTTGATCGTCTCTTCAAGAGACGACATGTTTGGCGGGATTTCGAAAAATCTCGCTTGATTTTCTCTTCGAGAGACTACAATATTATTCTAAGCAAAACAAAAGCAACTATTATATATATATAACACAGCACTTTAAAACAAAATGAATACTATGACGCAGTGGATAAGAGACTGTCGGTTGAGTCAAAGGGCATGGGTTTGAATGGTTATATAGGTGTATTTTTTTTTTGTTTTGGTAATTGTTATTATTATTAAATGATTAAAATAAAAAAATAAAAATAAAAATAATCTAACCTTTATAATAATAATAAAAATAATCCCGCCAAACATGTCAACGAAGCCTTATTTTTTTAAAAAAATTAACGTGGCGCTTAAGCTGGTCTCTTTCAAGAGACGACCAACGTTTGCCACTTCACGGGTCTGTCTCTTGAACATTATTTTTGGAAATAGTTTGGGAAGCGACATATTTTCGTAATTACTTTAAAAAATAGCAGTATTAAAAAAAAAATCCTACTTTTAGAAACTCCACTTTTCTAAAATAATTTGTAAAGATCGTAAAGATGGAGAGGTAGTATTTAGAAAGAGATAAAATCAGATAAAAGTAGAGGGCGAGAATCGAGAGGGAGAAATTTGTAAAGATTGAGAATCGCAGTAAAATGAAAATCTCACGTCTTGCTCATTGGTTTTAAAAATGGGTCAATTTTATCCAACCCAAAAACATTTGGGTTACTTTTTACAATGTCTTCCTAGCTTTTGAATTTGCATAATTACGCCTTTTGGATGCTTTTATTTACGTTTTTTTTTTTTATTTAGGATGGAAAAATAGAAATTTTATAGGCACATGACATCAGGCAAGAGAAATTATTTTAAAAAAGTTTAGGTTAGATTTCATTTTTCTCATGGTCAATTACTCAAAAAACCCTCAGTCTCACCAAAATTACTTCGCTGTCTAACTCTTTGATCGTTGTACGAAATAAAACTCTCACGTACGTAAGAAGAAAAAATAAAAATACTTCTTCAAAAAAAAAAATAAAAAAAAATAAAAAAAATAAAAGAAAAAGAAAAAACGAAACTGAAGAATACTACAGATTCTTTCTTTCTTGCTCCATTGCGCTTCCTCTTCTTTCTTCGTTCGTCCTCAATTCCCCAAAAACTTCCATTGTTGTGCAGCCCGTAAGTTCAAATTCGAAGTATCCGAGTTCGCCTCGAATTCATTTGAATTCTGAAATGGTTCTTGAATTCTAGGGGAACGGATTTCCTTCAAGATGAACAATCACACCAACATCAGCAACAACGTCAATAGTGGCACTACTCCTCAAGATCTCGGATTGAAGTTCTTGGAAATGGCTCGATTGGGGCTTCCTCGGGGTATATGCGACATGGACGAGGACGAGGAATCTCCCACTGAGCTCAACACCATCAACAGTTCCGGAGGTTTCTTGTTGGTTGCAACCGATAAGCTTTCTGTCAAGTACACGAATGTGAATCTTCACGGCCACGATGTCGGGGTCGTCCAGGCCAATAAGCCAGCTCCAGTTAAGCGACTTGTCTACTACTTCGAGATTCACGTAAAGGACGCTGGTGCCAAAGGTCAGATTGCCATTGGCTTCACTACCGACAGCTTCAAGATGCGAAGGCAGCCCGGGTTGGACATACTTCCTATTTCTGTTTCTTTCTTAATTCGTTTTTGGAATTCTGTTTGATTGCCTTGATTATGAATATTGTTTCTCTGTAACAAGGAAAGGTTACGAATGTATCTTATCTCGGAATTGGTAAATGGAATTGAATACAGTATCTGCAACCATGGAGTTAGTGCTTATCTTTATAGTCGACACTAGCATTGTATCGTTTCTTGGAATTGGTATTGCTTTGATTTCTTGTTGTCGATTGGCCCCCCTCCTCCTTCTGATTGTAAGTTTCAAAAGCACTCAAATGCCATGTCTTGTTAATTTGGACGAGTAGGTGGGAACCTAACAGCTGCGGATATCATGGAGATGACGGACTGCTTTATCGTGGATTGGGTAAGAAGGAACCTTTTGGTCCAACATATACGTCTGGGGATACGGTTGGTGCTGGAATTAATTACACCTCACAAGAATTCTTTTTCACGTAAGGCATTCATTCACTGTAATTGGTTTAGTTGTATGGTTATTTTTAGAGGTTATCATCATGATACGTTATGGTTCTTTCTGTTGATGTTCCAGAAAAAATGGGATAATAGTTGGAGCAGTGGAGAAGGATATGAAGGGTCCCTTGTTCCCTACAATTGCTGTTCACAGCCAAAATGAAGAGTATGCTCGTCGTCGAACCTTTATCCCTTTGATACTTTGTCAATGTATACGTTCTCTATTCTAATAATTTAGTTGAGATTGTATATGTATTAGGGTTCCAACGGAATTCTGTTTGTGATGCAGTATGTCCTGTCTTAAACTAGATAGATACAGTTAAAACTGGCTTGTGAAGTATCTGGTGTTTCCTTAGCGTAACAAAAGTCTTTTGTTGCTTTTTGTAAGCCTTCCTTCAAAGCAATCTTTTACTAATGTCACCCATGAAGTATTTGACATTTCTATAGCAAATTTCTTTAGTTTCCAGATGGTAATAAAATTGGATAATAAAAGCTGCAGCCTATACGCAGTTTCCAGGGACTTTACAAGGCACCCCCAGTTAACACTAGTAAGAAATGGAACGTTTTTTAAAATCTGTAGAGGGAAGTCCCAAAGAAAATTCAGGGAGGTCTTGCATGAAAGTATTTCTTGCCTTAAGCTACCTTTGGCAAAGGTATCACGGATAGCATCATTATAGCTAAAGAATCACTAGATTTCCCAAAAAATTCAAGATAGAGAAATGAGTATATTATAATTTTCTTGACTGAGTATTGGAAGCCGAATGTTTAGGTGGCGTTCATAATTGTCTAAATTATGAGGTCTCCATAACGATGAATGGTAGGCCTTGGAGTAAATTCTGGACCTCTAGGGTTATTGGACAAGTGAATCCTATACTGTTTGTCTTTGTTCGTGTGGTCAATGTTTTAAGTAGCTGTATGGAAGGATGGATGGAGCTTAATTTGGAGGAGGGATTGGAAATAGTCAAGACCTTATTCAATTTTGCACCTCTAGTTTGTAAATAACAATAACTTCTTTGTTCAACTAATGAGGAGAAAATTCCCTGCTCATTTTTTATAGAAGGATGCACACTTTTTCATACAGAAGGAGTAATTAAATTTCTTTAGGAAAAGAGTATAATTACAAGACAAATTAGATAGTGAACACCAGGAAGAACAATAGAATTTAGCATTCTCTTGAAACCCTGATTCCCTCCCTCTAAACCTTTAACCACATAACATGGGAAAAATTCATTTTATTATTGAAGGCCTGTTATCAAATTGTTGTAGCAATGATGTCCAACGCCTCCAAGTAAAAGATAATGAAAAAAATGTGTCCCATGTTTTCTTCTGCCCTTTAACAGAGAGAACCAGTTTGTTTGTAGTTTCATATTTGGGCATCTCCTTTGAGTTCTTTTAGGAGTACCGCTCTGTGTGACGCAAAGTTCACATGAACCTTTTTCCTTTCTGTATTCGGTATTCCCATTGGCAGTTTTACTAACCAT